ATTCCTTTTTTTTTTTCTTTTAATGAGTCCAGAAATTTATTAGCTTTCGCTACATGTTTGTTTGAAACTCACTGTTACTAATCCTTCTAGTCCGCCAAGTTGAAAAGGTAATCAAAATGGTTGTTCGTAACCATGTTAGCCGACGTGATAACTAAACGCCCGGTCACAATTCTGAAAATACCTTCATTTTTGATATTTAAAACTTTTAACGATAAAAATCAACGGTAAAACACGTAAGACGTACCAAAAGATTTGCAGGTGTAAACGGACAATAAAAACATGCAAAGGAAAAAACTAATGAAAAGCTAATTAAAAACCTTAGCACGAATTGAGTCAGATTGTACATTGAGAGTAGGTCTCAGCTCGTGAATGTAAAAACATCTCATAGACCAGACGGTCAAATTTGTTCGTGCACTTCATTAAAACGCTAAAATTCTTTGTAAGATCTTTTGGACCAGCCAAAGAATGTTTGTCGCGAAAATGCTTGCCAATTGATAAAGAAGAGTTTCTGTGTTCTTCAACACGCAGATGGAGGTGTATGAAACCAAATCCTATAAAAGAAGAGCAAATAAAACAAGTCTTTGGAATCGTCAGTTTTAATAACCCACGGTTTTACCGTTGATTTTTATCGTTAAAAGTTTTAAGAAACCTTTACTTATAAGATTTTTGATATTTCAGTTCTTTATTTAAGCTGTTTGCGTTCTTTAATTATTTGTCCATGTGCATGCATATACAAATATTCACACACTTTGGGAAGTCATTAAATACAAATTCTTTTTATTTTAAATTGTCTTAACACGTCAATGTTCCAGATCAGGCTAACGATCCAAGGTGGAAGTACTTGAGTTATGGGGGTAGGTAGAAAAGAGTTCATCATGTCTTAAGTAGTCCATAATATTTACAATCAAGAACGGATGAAGAGCAAGACAGTTTATCCCTCATATAGGCCTTATTCCCAAAGTTCCTCTCACATTATTTTAAAATCACTCCCTAGGTTCCTCCTACACGGAAATACCAGGAGAGCCTAGAAAAAGTCAATCATGTGACCCTAAATTTTGTTCGCGTGGACAGTCGTAGCAGCTTGACACTTTTTATCCTCCACGAAAACATCCACTCAACGCGCGTGGTAACATCATGGAGCGAATAACTGGGTACCAGCTATAAAAACAAATACAGAGGGATAAGCTTGCTTTAGGGATTAACCCTCTTATCAATTCTTCTTTTAATTAATCAAAGTATATTTGACAGGTATTTAATTATTATTTGTTGTTGGTTTGTTTCCTTGATGGAATCTACACGAGATCGTGATATGATATGCACATGAATCTTTTCAACTGTCTGTAAATACGAAATTTAATTCCAGTTGAGACAGAATCCACGCAAGGTGGAGGCCTGGGACCAGGCAGGCCGTGACGTCGAATTAAGACCGTAGTTGGTCACATCTTTCGAACCGGCAAACAAATAGAAAAGATACTCTGACGTGGTTCCAATTTTGTTTTGAAATTGTAAACAATTACGAAAGATATGTAGACCTACATTCTTGTTTTGCCCGAGCCCTAAGAGCGTCTGCGTGGGAGGTCACTTTTCAGATGGCTGTAGGAAACCTTAATTTTTTTTCTCTCTCTCTTTTCGCTTTCCATATCTTGATTTCAAGTAGATTCCATCAGGGAAATAAGAAAATACCTGTCATATACATTGTGCACTTTAAAATAATATAGTACAGCAATTTCACCTAAAGCGTCAATTCAAGATGTACACCACGTATCCATATACGAATAAATAAATCCCGACTAAAAAAGTTAGTGTTACTGTGTTGCTTTCTGGTTCAAATGCTATTCTTTTCTTCTTTCTAGCCTGTCACGCGGTTTGTCGTATTAGATGTCGTGGTGTTGGATATAGGTGCCGGAGGTCTTGGTACGGCTACAGGTGCCGTTGTCTTGGCAGACCGAGAGGGGATGAGCCACTGACCGAAGAGAATTAGCAATATGCTTTCTTTAACTGGTGAGAATATTACAAAACATTATAGCGTGTGATAAGCTGCTCCTGCATGAAAGTGTATGAAGAATTACACTCAATTTCTATTACTGACTTTTAAATTAAAAATCTGAAACTCTTCTCGGCTTTGCAAAATTAGGTAGCTTAGTACTTTAATCATGGCGACGAACATCAGTGACGAATTCTAAACATAAACACAAAACGTGCAGAACAAAGCCATCTTATGAAAATATTTTGTCAATTAAATCAATTTACAATTGATGTATTAATTAGTACTGCTTCTTTGAAATACTTAATTCTTTCATAATTCTCGAAGGAAGATATCTCTTAATTTTATCTTGGGCCTTTAGATTGTCCATAACTGTTTCAATTTCTTTCTGAAATATTTGATGGGATACGCTGTGAAAAGTTTTTCTTTTTTCTTTTCTTTTCTTTTCTTTTTTCTTTTTTTTTCGCGAAAAGCAAAAATACACGAACTGCTAGTTCCAACCGCTTGGAAAATAATTGAAATTGCATTCACTTGTGGGCATCATAACCAGTGCTTCGTTCAGTTACAGTGATTTAAAGTGCAGTCAGTAACAAGCTATCAGTGAAAGGCGCTACTTAACGAAGCAATCAGATTCACTTTTACCTTCATTGCTACTATCTGGGCCATTTATTTTTTCTACTCACCCCAGGCTTCCTCTAGCTCTCCAATCCAAGATTGCGGTTGCGATGCTTCTTATCTAGAAATACAGACTCTCCCGCAGTAGGCGCGGGTCCATNGTTTAACTCCACAAATTATGAATGTCTGTGTCCGGGGTAGTCTGGCTGTCAGGTGTGAGTGTCGAACTCTCTGAATCTTCCACATCAGGTGAATCATCTCCATTCTTATTTAGCTCACATCGTTTTTCGTCGTTCTTCTTCCTTTCAGGTTTGTCCTCGTCCCCTGCCCTTTTCTGAAACGCTTTTCTCGCAGGTTCCCCACAAGACTCCCAGAACGTCTTCAGAGCGCCATTCTTATCGGCACAGAAGTCCTCCAGTTCTCCCCTCAGAGTATTGGCGGCCTCACTGTCTCCCGTGGCCGCAGATCGCCAGCGCCTTGTAAGCATGTAGTTATGCATCCAGTGGAAGCCCCAGCAACCGCTTGACGGCTGTTCCACTTCAAGTCTGGACAGGCCAATTGTAAACGGATCTTCCTCTTCGTCCAAGTTTAAGATTCGAACAAAGGCGACGCCACTTGTGTGTACGTAGTCGTTCGCGCGACACTGCACGGGAGTGACTTGCACCATCGGCGAGCTCACGTGCATCGAACCGTACGGCGAGTCCCGGATGAAACCAAACCTTTAACACAATCAAACAACAGAGATGATAAGATTTTAAGACAGTAAACTACGGTCGAAACGCCGGCTAACGGACGCCTCCTGTGGGCGGATACCGGCTTCCCGTAGCGGAAACACTGTCATGGTATGAACCACATACAAAGCAACAATGTAATCTTTGTCGAGGAAAAGTTTGTTGTTATTCATCGTGGTAGATGCAATAATAAAGTGTATTATCGTTTGTCTCACGATGTAGTCACTTGAGATGTAGATCGCGACGTTTCGACTG